ACATTTAAGGGATCATAAGTATTCATTGGTTCTATTAGGCTTTTGTTAATTAAATCTGCAAAACTTTTGTGTGTTAAATGTTCTGTATCTTCGACATGAAGTTGGTTAAGCAAACTGCCAGATACAGGTCTCATACCGGAGATACGTTTAACCTCTGTCCACCAAGATTTGGGGTTAGACTTTTTCAGATTAGCAACTTTTGAAGCAAAATAGTCTGCCCGGCAAGATTTTCTCATTCTATTCACTTTATTTCGGTAGAATTTGAAAAGAGTAGTGTTATTAGATGAAAACGCACGTTGTCGAAACTTGATCAGCTGTTTCAATTTTTCGGTTATCCATGGGTTGTCGTTGCGATGGAATTTAACGTGTTTCTCAGGCATAAGGATGTCATAACCCGTCTTTATTGCGGAGCATAAGATATCACAATTCTTATCGCACGGTTCGGAGGAATCGATAAGTTGCCAGTCAAAGTTACTCAGATATCGACCAAGTTCTTTTTTGCGTGATTGACGTATGTCTCTTTTTATTACTGTCTTTCTACTTGTGGTTTCTGATGATGTTTTAACTTTGGGCTCAACCATTATCACATTATGGTCTGATAATCCGAAAGGAGGGAAAACCATGGCTGGTTGTACATCGTAAAATTTATGCATGTTTGTAAGTATAAGATCCAAAATCTTGGCACCACGAGTTGGTTTATCAACCAATTGTTTTAACTGAAAATCTCGGCAAAGATCTTTAGTGTCAAAGTGGTTAAAATCACCAGCAATAATAATTCCACAGCCTGGAAAAAGACTTTCCAGTAGTGTCAGTGAGTCTGATAGGTATTGAAAAAGATCTGTATTGCAGGAACTTGGAGGATGGTAGACGCACGCAGAAACAATGCCGTTAATTCCCCTTGGTAATCTTGGTGGTCTAATGTGTGTCCATAAAACCTCAAAGTCTAAATGTTCAATTTCAGGTAATCGTTTGAAACGGATGGAATTCTTTATGTACATGCAGACACCACCGTGGATACCAAGACTACGATCCCGCCTCACGAGGTGGTAATCAAATAAAGTCGCGTGGGTGTCACAAACGGACACTCGCAGCCAAGTTTCAGTTATAAAACCCAAATCAAAACTTTGTGCAGAGGTCAAAATACGTAGCTCGTCAAGCTTAGGAACTAGAGACATGACATTAGTTAGCATAATTTTGGGAACGAATTCAGTTCTTGGAGAATGAGTTTTGGTAATAGGAATTTTAACAAGGTTACTGAGATTTCGAGTACACATTGGTTTGAGTCGGCCGAAATGCTGTCTTCTAGACCTTCCCATACCGTGTACTGTAGAAATGTTTTGCAAGGGTGTCTCCGCCATTACACAAGGGTTGAGTAGCTCCCATTCTGGGTCGAGTTTATTTTCTTCTGAGTTGTGTTCATGTCATGATCTTTTGGTCGCCATGGTTTGCAAGTAACAAACGTGGGCCAGAAGTTTTCCTTCTCCACCAGTGCACTGGCGCCTGAGGGTATATGGAGTTTACACGAAAGAGTCTCTCGACGGCGGCTTCGAAAAACCGAGATATAAGTGGGGAAAATATTTCTTTGATTGAGGTAAGAAAGGATTTGACTTTTGTTTACACTTTCAGCGATTCCCGTTACGAACAATTTCTTAGTCTTACCACGTTTACGCTGTACGCCAATAAAATCATCAGGCGACTGTCCGGCCTCAGAAACCACACTCTGCGAGGTATGCTCCGAATTCTTGCTTAGGTTATTCTTGATAGTATCTTGGTGGTTTGTTTTGGTAGCGGTTTGATTAGCCGTTTTTTCTGCGTAGGTAGGGTGATGTGCTTTCGTACTATTATTATCTTCTATAGAAACATCAGCGGATGCACTATTTGGGTTCACTTCTATAGGATTTACGGAAGCATTCCCGTTTAACTCGTTAAACTGATTATTGTATTCTTCACGATTAATTGGCCTTGGTTTGGTAGTGCTCCCATTGTTCGTTCGAGGATTAGTCGATTCTTGTATGACAAAAGAATTATCAACACCAGCACTGTCGGCATCTACATAATCAGTAAGCTCGTCCGATACGCAAGGTTGCTTTGGCAAAGCGGAAATATCAGAATCAGTCTTGTTTTTGTTCACCAAATCTTGTAACTGAGAAGTTATATACGAGATTGAGGCCGATAGAGACTGGATTGCTTCGCCATTGATTTGTTGACCCAGTTTTAGATCTTCAATATCCGTATGCACATCATCACATAATTCATTTGATAGTTGAGTGTGGGCTGAGGCAAATACTTGTGAATTATTTGCATGATAATTACACATCCGTTTACATAACTCTCTCATGATTTCGGTCGCATTTTCTCCATTGATGGAAAGCAATCCCTTATTCTTTCTCCATAGTATAGTTGATGTATCACAACTAAACAACTTCCTATCACCTCCAGGCTGTTCCCAAGTTCCTTTGAGTTGTAAATCTTCACTTACAAACTGTTTTAGAGACTCATAAGTACCTGACCATGCAATGCATAGCTTATCGCTTAAGCTGGTTGCCATATTGTTCATTGTACAAATGAATAAACAACTTTCAATCGCTAATAATCGTCAGGATAGTCTTTCATATAATTTTTCATCCATTCAAGTGTGTTGTATTGGATTGTATTACAAAAATTTTGAAATTTTAGAGAGCTCAACAAAGCACGTCTGCTCACGAAGAGGCGTTATAAATATCCCAACTCTAGATCTTAAGTGTGGAAAGAGCAAATATTGAAATACGATGTATAATAGCTTGGAAAGTCGTTTCAAATAAGTTGTAAAGCATTTTTTTGTTAATTTTCCTTTAAATTAAGGACATGATAAGAATTGATTTAGTGCGGGACGTCATGAAGTATGGGACAAGTTTGTTTTGACCATTTATGCATTTGACTTTGTCGAATGTTGTTCATCAGTTTTGCTAAAAACATGTACTGCTTCTTTTTAGTATAGTTATAAGTTTCTTAAATTAACGTGTTCAGTATTTTTGTAGGAAAGCTAAAAATTGAAAAAAGAGCAAACTGTTTTCGTAAGTGAACTGTCTAATTTAAATTAATTTTATTTCAAAGTTGTGCCAGGAACTCTGATGTTGTACTGTATAACTCTTAAATAAGTTTTATATTTACAGTAATATAACCTTTTATTTATAAATGTTCATTTACATTGCGGAATTTTTAATATACAAGATTTAGAAATTCTGACCCTCCTTGATTACAGATATAAACGTTTGCATATTTGACTATTTCGATAGACTTGTTCATTGGGGTGTCAGAAATTCTGAACCTTTCATGTTAAAGCTTTGCATTTTGAGTGAGATATTGCGGAATTATTATTATACAAGTTTCCGGCAGAAATTCTGACCCTCATTTGTTACATGCAGATATAAACGTTTGCATATTTGACTATATCGATACACTTGTTCATTGGGGTGTCAGAAATTCTGAACCTTTCATGTTAAAGCTTTGCATTTTGAGTGAGATGTTGGGGAATTACTGTTATATACAAGGTTCAGAAATTCTGACCCTACTTTGTTACTGATATATAAACGTTCGCGTATTTTACTTTTTCTTTGCACTTGTTTATTGGCGTGTCAGAAATTCTGAACCTTTTGTGTTAAAGCTTTCCATTTTGGCAGCAGGCTTTACTTTTGGCTTTACATTTTGAGTGAGATATTGCGGGATTATTATTATATCAAGGTTCAGAAATTCTGACCCTCCTTTGTTACAGATATCAACAAAGGAGGGTAAGAATTTCTGAACCTTGTATAACAGTAATTCCGCAATAGCTCACTCAAAATGTTTAAAACGTTTGCATATTTGACTATTTCGATAGACTTGTTCATTGAGGTGTCAGAAATTCTGAACCTTTCATGCTATGGCTTTGCATTTTGAGTGAGATATTGCGGAATCACTGTCATACAAGGTTCAGAAATTCTGACCCTGCTTTGTCACAGTCACAGATATAAACGTTCGCATATTTGGCTATTTCGTTCATTGGGTATCAGTAATTCTGAACCCTCCACGTTTAAGAATTATTGCTGTAATATAGTATTTATAATATGCAGTCTCAGTCAGGGTTTATTTTAACGTGCAGTTCTACACAAAATGTGCAGTTCTAAAATCATTTGTGCAGAGCGAATGGTATAATTGTTTTATAATGTAGTCTAATAGCCATTAACTGAAGCAATAATTACAATGTCTTGAAAATTTGTTCGGCCAAAACCTCTTGCCGTCTTGGGCTTGAAAATTTGAAATACTTTTGTTTTTAATACAACTCGAAGACGAAGTGAAAGAAATGCTCTTAGAATCGGTATATCTCACAGAAAAGATCAGATATATTATACAGATGTTTGGTAGTATAGTAATTAGTGCTTCTTGACTGCAAATTCATTTTCCTTTCGTTGCAAACTTTCTGAACAATTTATATTGTCAATGAACATGTTTTTTTCGCTGTTGTTTCGGTATTAATTCTTTAAACAACTTGTATTTAAACTAATTTCTATGTAATAAATGTATTTTGCTAACCTGTCAAATTTTTTTGAGAGTTTTTCCTTGTGCAATTATCTTTCCCAAAGCGAATATTTTCCGTTTTTCTGCTTCGCAAAACTCATGTAGTTTTTCAGCCAGTCAGATTGCAGAACAGCTCATATACGGCGAATGACAATATTATAATAAAGAATCTCGATATAGAATCATGAAATTGCGAAATCATGAATTTGAGTGAAATACCGTAAAAAATCACATTATCACGTGGTACAAATGCTGTTTTTTCATTAGACAATTTGAATTTGAGGTATAATATTCACCGGTAATCACTTCGGCAAATAATTGTTAATTATTATATGGACAATGGTGTTTTACTGGAAACTAAAACACTCTTAGAACTCATACGTCACTACATCTGGGACCAGGTGCGCGTATTTTCCGTATTTCACCCCTGTGAGTGACATACGAAGTTCGAAAATTTCCCGCCATTTTCATTGTTGTTGTTGTTTTGAAAATACAAATGGTCTTTGGTTTGTATTTAAAACGAAATTAACGTTTGATATAAAACGAAAACATTTAAAAGACATTTTGAGATAAGTAAAATTTATTCTAGTTTTATGTTTGCACCATAGTTTTAAAAATATCGCCTTTTACACTGGTCTTTCGCGTGCTTATTTACGTGTCGTCTTTGTGTGTATTTTTGTCACTCAGAATAAGTCCATATAATAAACAGAACATTAAACGGTTGCGAGAAGATATGGATTTATGTTCTCGTGTCAAAAACAATATCTCATTCGTTAGCTGTGCTCACTCGTGAGATATTATTTTTGCCACTCGAACAATAAAATCCATATCTCTTCGCAACCGTCTAATATCCTCTATATCTATTAATGGGGAATGGCAATACTGATTATACACTTAATGTCTGCTCCCGAGGGAAATAGTTAGTTTTATTTTCCCGAGAATCTCAATGTTTCCCGAGACGAAGTCGAGGGAAACATTAAGATTCAAGGGAAAATAAAACTAACTATATCCCGAGGGAACAGGCATTAAGTGTTTTGTTATATAGCGACGAACAAAAATCAACTTCAACAACATTCATACAACAATTGTATTTCGTGACGAAAACTCTATAGTGTAAACGAGTTTAAAATTAAAAGAACCTACTTAAACGGTTTCAGCAGCATATCCTGTTGCCTGTTGTGTATTTTTCTTCTCTTTTATATTCCTTATTTTAACACAAACGTGGAAAATCGTAGTTTCTAATTATCTGAGTTGTGCCTCCATTTTGTTTATTTATGTACGTGGCCGGTCGAGGCGGACAACAATTTTTCACTTGTTGCCCGGCGGGAAACATTGCATTTATCTGAAGTCACGCGACCACAAATCAGCCAATCACGTTTGGTGTCCACGCTAGCTATATAACAAAAATTTGTATTCTCTCATTTGAAACAAATTTTGAAACTATATATTAACTTCTTTTATCGATTTTTCATATCTTGCTTAGTTCTTGAAATATTTTCACTTGAAGTAATGAGATGTCCGCCATCTTGGATAAATTTGATCTCATTAACGGTAGCTTTCGTGACATCACAACAGGGATTAAAGAAGTAAGCAAGATATGAAAAATAGGTACGCATTGCGTACATGTGGTTAGTATTCTATTTCCCAACACTCGCATTCTAGCTCAGTTGATTTAGGTATTGGAAAAAAGTAATAGTCGACAAAGGAAAGTGAGTCGTAGACGAACTTTCTGTGTTTGAAAGTGCACGAATTTTCCCGGGTGGATGGGTGGGTCTGATCGTCTCGCTAAAACGCTCACTTTGTTGCTGACTTGAAGATACTGAGCTAAAACCGAGCTGAATCGCCTTCTTATACCTGTGGTTCTCCATCTACATCCTTATATTTTATTCAAAACTCCTTATTAGGTGTTATTTATTCCTAAATCACCTTCGCATATAATTACGAGTGTTAAGAATAGCCTACAAGATTGGCAATTGTTATAGCGTATAGTTAATTTCGTTCAAAATATGTAAATTAATTGCTCGTTTGCAATCGAGGCCATCTTGGTTGATTTTTCAACCGTTTGTCGTATGAAGCCAGATACCGTATAAACTATCTATAATACAACAACATTTTTAAAAACAAACCAGAAAATAATGCTTGTGATGTTACTCTGAGTGTATATTCATACCGGGCAAGCTTGAAAAATATGCCTGACCACTGTGGGAATCGAACCTACGACCTTTGGAATACTAGCCCAATGCTCTGCCAACTGAGCTACGCGGTCTGGTCGGTTCGAAAAAAGAAAAAAAATCATGATGATCAGATTACATTGATATCGAAGGAACTAGATTCTGTTCCGAAATATCACATACTCGAACCGACCAAACCGCGTAGCTCAGTTGGCAGAGCATTGGGCTAGTATTCCAAAGGTCGTAGGTTCGATTCCCACCGTGGTCAGGCATATTTTTCAAGCTTGCCCGGTGTGGATATACACTCAGAGTAACATCACAAGCATCATATATTCACCTGAGTACATTACACCAACACAGAAAAAAAATCATGATTATCATATTACATTGATATCGAAGGAACTAGATTCTGTTCTGAAATATCAGATACTCGTATAGTAATGTACGTCTATTAATCGTTAACGCACGTATTACGATTAGTTTATATTTAGAATATGGACATTATATATTGAGTTGTTTACATGTAGCCGAGACATCAAGAAGTCTATTAAATAAGAGAACATTATAATGGCGACGAAGATAAACGTATTCTATTAAACGAAACGATGGTGGAAGAGCAGGCAGAGCCTCAACCACTGTAGCAACCGGCTGTACAGATCATGCAATCTGTAACAATAACTCCAATGCCAGAATTTTGCCCAGATGCAAAAATCGGAACAAGCCTTTCGACAAGATGGAACAATTGGCAGTCAGACTTCGAAATGTATATAACCGCAAGTGGAATAACGGATCCAAAGCGAAATAGCGGATCCAAAGCACTCTTGCTATATCAAGCCGGACCGAGAGTTCGCGAGATTTTTAAACAAATCCCCGAGACAGGAACTGATACGGACTACGACATCGCGAAACAGAAATTAAAGGCTTACTTCGACCCTCAAAAGAATCGGCGGTACGAAGTTTATCGTTTTCGACAAACAACTGAAGAACACAATGAGACATCAGATCAATTTCACACCAGACTTAGAACAATATCAGAAACATGTGAATTCGCAGACGTAGTTGAATTTGAAATCGAAGAACAAAACATTATAGGCGGAAACTCATCGAAAATACGGAAGCGAGCACTGCGTGATCCTACATTTGACTTAAAATCAATGCTTTTAGAAGGACGTCGTGACGAGCAGAGCAAGTACCAAGCTCAACAAATTGAATCTAAAGAACAAACTGACGGTAAGGCTAATAAATTAGAACAAAAACCTAATAACGGTAATTTTTCGAACAGTAGTGTTATTTGCAGAAATTGTGGGCGTGCTTATCCACACACAGGGGCATGTCCAGCGAAAGGAAAAACCTGTAATAATTGTGGAAAACCGAATCATTTCGCTGCTGTTTGTCGAGGAAAACAAAAACAAACGCGATCACCGAGATACACAAACAAAAAGCATGCACAAAGAAATTTAAAAACATTAGATACAGAATCAAACTCGAGTTCCGATGAAGACTATTTATATACCATGACAAATACAAAGCACAATAACAAGGTCAATGTTAAAGTAGGCGGTGCCAAATTTCAAACAACAATTGACAGTGGCGCGACAATAAATGTGATCGATCGTGACACTTTTAACAAAATGCAAGAGATAAAATTAACTCGCACGAACACGAAAGCTTTCGCGTATAATACGAAATCACCAGTTGAATTTTTGGGAAAATTCGAAGCGGTAATCGAAACACGAAAACGAATATCTGTAGCCACATTCTATGTCGCTAAAGCTGCGAACTGTGTAAACTTACTTTCTCTTTCTACTGCACAAGAACTCGGACTTATTAGTTTGCATCTAGACAAACTGACATCAAAGGATGCCGCACTAGAAAACATCCTTCAAAAGCATTCTAAAGTTTTTTCCGATCTTGGAAAATTGAAGGGAGAAAAAATTAAACTAGATATAGACAAAACTAAAATTCCGAAAGCACAACCCCAAAGGCGCATACCTTATCACATTCGAGAAAAAGGGAAAAACGCGATAACTGAATTAGAAAATCAAGGTGTCATTGAAAAAGTGCCCGAAAATGAAGCTACTCCTTGGGTTTCACCAATTGTAGCTGTTCCCAAAAAAG